TAGGCTAAAAACCAATGTTAAGTCGTGCCAGGGATAATTTAAGTCTTCATTTTTTTGCACTGAAAATGTTTTTTTTGCCATGAAAACTGTATAGCACGTAAATTTAAGGTGTGCGAGGCGCAAAGCGCCGCAAACTAATTTAAACTAACTCCAGCACGGCAAGTTGGACCTCAGGTAAGTTGAAGTAGATGACCTCCTAAACGCCATAATTTAACCGGGTTTTTAAATTCTATAATAAACAAATGACGAATAATCAAATTAAACATGAAAAAATAGGTGGGCAAGTAGCTTCTCAAAGTTACCGTCATGGTGCACGCTCATTGGCTAGTCAAAATACCGGTGCACTAAGCCACATAGTTCATTACCATGAATTTCAGCAAAATAAAAGATGACGTGACCATTGAGACTTCATTTCGGACCGATTTTCATCTAATCATACGAGCCTGAGGAAGGCAATTTCATGACAAATAGGTTACTAACGCTTATGCGTCATCCATTTAAGCCGTTTGAATAAGTTGTGCAAACTAAGGAATCATCACTCTTCTATGCACAACGCTATCACAACATACTGGCCTTCATCGTTTGGCAATTGTTAATTCATTTCAAGAAAGGATAAATAATTGGCCAAAAACTGTTTTTTTACATCTTCCACTCGGAAGAGATTATAAGATCCGAAGAACAACAGAGCATTATTGACAAGTCCAAATATTACGTTACACTTTCACTGCTCATGTATGACGGAATCGCCAGTTTTATATTGCAAATCGCAACTCTTTTCTCCGTACCAGCAATGGCTTCCATCGTGGACAATAGTGCATCGATGCTTTCCGTCAGATCACCGTGTTTCTTCTGTCCGTAAACAATCTCACCCTTTTTCAGCGATCCACCAGTATACCACTGGTTGAGGTGCATCAACAAACCGTGCATGAAGGGAGCTAAGTTCGGACCCAAGTTTGGCTGGGCTTTACAAATCATTTTCAACAACGAGACCATTCGCCGCGCGATCGTTTCATTATCTAAAATGGAGGATGTATGCTGCGCCTTTAAAAATGTATTTGTTAATATGTGAGAATGACAAAAGACAAAAGTTCAAATTGATAGTTTCTTCGAAAAAGCAACCTTACTCAGCTCCCTAGGTCGGCATAATTAGATGCAGGTTAAAACGAATGCTCCAAGATAAAGGTCACATTGTAGATGCACTTAAAAATTGATATCTGCTTGGCATTTGTGCCACTAGGTTGTCATCGTGTGTATCATCCTGTTCCCCGATTGGCTTAAATTTCTTCCATTTAAGCCTGCGCCTTTTGAACGCGCTGCTGACTCAATATGTCGGTTGATGCACGCTATGTCTGACTGCATGGTCTCATGGAAGTCTCATCCTTTCTTGGAAGGACAGACAGCGAAAATTCGAATTTTCCCCCCTTGGTATCCAGGGTACGTATGGCAACTTGGCAGCAAAAAGGCGGAACCACCAGTGCGAATCGTTATGTTTTCCCTGGAAACCGAACGCACCGCCCAGGACAAAATTCGCATTGTTGCCGTCTGCCCTTCCAAGAAAGGCATGCATCAACCGACATATTGAGTCAGACGCGCTTTCAAAAGTCGCCGTCTTAATTGGAAG